AGAGCGGGCAAAGAAAGAGAGCGGGCAAAGAAAGAGAGCGGGCAAAGAAAGAGAGCGGGCAAAGAAAGGAAACTGGGGTGAGAAGAGAACGAGGAGGATCGATAGCGGGAAGAATCGATTACGGAAGGATCGATAGCGGGTAGGGTCAGAAAGCTGGGAGGGACGAGTGCTGCGAGGGAGGAAGGTGGAGGGCAGAGAGGGGCAAGAGCCTAGTGAGCAGAGAGGGATGGGGCAGGGCGGGGAGATCGTGGCGGAGCGGGTCGGTGCAGGCAGGTTTAAGCTCCGCGGAGGCCTGGCGCCAGGCGCTATTTACATGTTTAAACAGAACGCGCTAAATAACGCAATTAGGAGACGGCGTGGGGGTAGGGAAGGGCGCGGGCGCGTGAGAGGGAGCGGGGGTGCGTGCTTTGCGGTGGCGCCTTCGTCGCCGGGAGGGGGATGGGACGGGGTGAGATTCCACACGTTGCCGCCGAATCGGGTTGGCGACTGCTGACGGGCTGTCGACCGCAGAATTCCTCGCGCCTAGTGGGAACTAACGGAGTTAAGTCCAAATTTATTACATAGGAGAAATATGAAAGGAAATCTCCATCAATCAGGGCGATTTATTTGAGGCAAATTAGAGAGTATTTCAGAAAACTTGAAAATGTCTTTTCATAAATCAAAAACCATGGAGGTGCACTCACTTTCTCCTGGGCCCCGCGGTAAGCAATACGATTAAGAAGATGAAAGTCACATACGAGAGCGATTTTTTAAGTGTCTGGCGGTTATGATTTCCGAGGAATGTTGAGCAATGTACACTACTCGCAATTTAAAGAAATTCGAAAGCCTTCTCTCCGTCTCTATAACAGAAACTATTACCTCCTACGGAATTCAAATAGCGACCAAATTACCGAGATATTTCGTGTGTGTGCCATACTTTGGTTTTCTTTTACCTTAATTCATTCAAGTAATATTTCCTTCAAGAAACCTTTTTTAATACGCACACTATGCAGGGCATTTTATTTCAACTACAAGTGTTAAATAGCTTAATTAAAGAGGTGACAGTTCTTGGGTGCGGTATGCCCTTATTATTGTTTCGCACTTGCCTAATTTATTAGTCACTTCAACGAGTCCCAGTTCGACATCAAAGGAGGTTTTTTTCTTACGTCCTCCCGACGAAAAGATAAAGTAAAAATTAATGTATCCTTATGACTAGTCCGAAAATCTTCTGGGTTTATCAACTGTCTTGGGCAGTATCATTTAACAAATTTCTACAACTTCTGCTAAGCTACTTCGGTTATTAGCAACGACAATAATAACTTTACAAAGGATTAAAAATTAATTAGGAATTAATCCAAATTCAGAATTATCCCCGATGCCACGCAATTCACGAATTTATATTATTAACCGAAACATCCCGAATAGAGATATAGTCAAGATTATTTTTTATCTCCTTCATTCCTTTCCACCTTCGTCGTTTCCATTCACAATAAGTACTGACCAGTCAAAAAATCTGTATGTTGCTTTTTCATGTGGATACTTACATTTTCTTCAATTCAACACAGTTAAATAAGCAAGAGTCCACGTGTTAGAAAATTCCACTCTGCAAACATTTTTCTCAGCCGTCTCTGCAAACTCTCGTTTGTGCTGCGAAAGGTCAACTCACGGCGGGGTCGGTAGCAATTGCGCCAGTCTTTCAATCAAGTCCACTCTTTTCTGCAGTTTCATTGGTAAATCAATAAGCATCAAAAGAACGCATTTTACTAATACATTTAATTATAAGAAGAAACTAGATTGAAATGCCATTCCATCGAACTTAAGTTTTGGATGTGGCGCCTCAATGTTGAAAAGTATTTCTCCAAGTTAACTTTTCAGAAAACAAAAGATAATATTTTTATAAAAAAGCTGACTGAAAATAAAATATTATAATAAAAATTGTTGCAAAAAGGTGAAATATTCTACTGAAAGTTTATCTAACAAAATGCCTTCAGACTCAACTATACTTCGATAATGAAATTCATCTTCATTAATAGTTTAAAACTTACAAATACACTTTTCCGTTCGAATCACATATTTACAGCTACTGTCCAAAAATCTCTTAACATAAAGCGCCAGAGGACATACACCGGTGCATTTAGGATAATTTCTATTAAGGAAGAAAAAGGTTTGTATTCAAAAGGCGAAAAATCCCAGAAGAACGCACTCTATGCAAACTAAGCAGATGCGAACTCTCAGGTCAAATCAGAAAAGAGAACTTCATCGCGGAAGGTCGCTTCAATCGTTGACAAAAATTAGTCACAAACTTGCTGGAAAATCCAATTCTTCTAGTTTACCAACTAAATTTCATCTACAATTAATATCTATTATCTTAAACAGACAATTTTCTTCTTTGTAAACTAGAGAACGGAATACAAATCGTCATTGGCTAATCGTCGAAGATTCATTCGCAATTAGTCATAACACTATAATCTTTATTTATAAAGCACCTTTATTATTATTATTATTATTATTATTATTATTATTATTATTATTATTATTATTATTATTATTATGACCAATTAACATCCCGTTAAGGACAAAAGCCTCCTGCCTTTTCGCGAGGGAATACTGGATGAAGTGACAGAGTGATGATGAGTGGTGCACGAGGTGAAATGATAATGATGATTGGTCAGGAGAGGGGTGAAAGAGACTTTTTTGCATCATCCCATCATTTGCGTTACGACCGACGGAAACCTCCCTAAAAACCCGGTAAGGATGGCCGGCCCGGTGATCGAACGCGGAACTCCTGATTGTGAAGTCAGCTTCATCCGATATCACTTTATTCGGTATTTAAGAAGCAGAATAGTAATAATAGTAATAATAGTAATAATAGTAATAATAGTAATAATAGTAATAATAGTAATAATAATAATAATGTGTTTGTGGATTTTTTTCGACATTTGCCTAGTGTTCATAAGAAACACCACGGAAAAATAACGATCATTAAAACCACAAAAAAACACGGAAAACTAACATTTAGCTTGTAGAATTCTTCGCCAGACAGCTGGTGACTTCAACCTATCTAGCTAGAGTCCGAAATTCTGCCACCGTCGGGATTCGAAACCTAGGACCTCACATTCAGAGTCAATGACAACAGTTGATGCACCTCTACTGGTACGAATCCGTAAGTGGATGGTGTCGCATATAACAATACTTGATACGCAATTGAAATACGCTAAGCGTTTCCCGGTTGTTCACGATACTAGACGCTGAACATAATATAAAACATCTTTGAGTATGTCCGACTCATCCTTTTTAATGCATTTTATTCCAAAATACACGTTTGCAGAACTGTTTATTAGGAAAGCCGAAAAAACAGGAAGGGAATGGAAAATCAATGTATGTAAGAAAATTATATCCAACCCAAGAGTTCTAATACATTAAGCAATTCCTTAAAATACCTTTAAAATTCTTTTATAATGTCTCGATCTTCATGCCCCAAAAATTATGTGCACGCTTCAAAAGCAAACGAGCACATTTCAACCATTGAACTAAAATACTCTCCTCTGCCGATGAACCGAGATTTGTGAACGAAAGCGAGAGTCAAATTATAACTACATTGTGTCCTGTGTGTATGATCTCTTTCAGCAACGACTGTAGGTTAGTAGCTTAAATACGCAACGAAGGGCTCATAAGGCACAAAGTTTTAATTTCCATTCGCGTTCTCAAACAAGTCTATAAAAAATGTCAATAAGTGGAAGCTGTTTTATTCTTTCTTCTTCCTCCATTCTTGGTGTAACGAACAAAACAGTTTCGTGATTTGAACAGCAAATCATATTCCTGTTCCTTTCCTACCTCGTGTTTTCCTACCTTCGAATTCCCCAGACGTGCTCTCACTTGAACCTCGTCGTTTACGCTGTACATTTGTGTCCCAACCACATAATCCTACGTGTACGGACGAGTAGGTTGCACGGAACGCAGATTGCGGGAGTGAAGGGGGTAAGATGCAAATGCGCAGATCTGTAATCACCGCCCTCGCAGGTACTCTGTCTGCAGGATTGCGCTCTCCGCGAAGCCCCAAGGCCGAGTCGGCCTAATAGGGCGGCTTTCCGCTCGCATTCCGTCCAGCGCGCTCGGACCCAGCGGGAATCCTGCACGCGAAAGCGAGCGCTGTTTCACTCTCCGAAGAGAGACACACGTTCAAAATAATAGACGGTGTCAGATGTACGATCAGTGTTACGTTGACACGAATTCTTTACACGCGCAGTTGAAGATTTTTTTATGTTATAATATGCATTTGATAAGAAAAGTAGATCACTTACTTCGTTTGAAATAACATTAATTTTCGTGATGTTAAAATGATTATATGTTCGATTTGAGGAAGAACGCATTATTGTCTGGACGGAATGTGGGAGAACACTGAACAAGATGGCAGAAAGATTTGGCCCACATTCTTCGCTGGAACTAATAGTTTAAATACAAACCAATATTCAGTTCTGTACAGGATTTCCGACTACGACAATAAAAAATACAATTACGTTGTTATCGTAACTGTAATGATTCCCATGAATATAATGACTGACACAAATTATTGTTACAATTTTCAGTACGATATCATTTATTTCAGGACGACGAATATTGTGAATTTCAGGGTGAATTTCATAAAATGTATGACTTCTAGGCTGTCCGGGTGACGCCGCGCCGTTGGCAGATTTGGCCTATCTGCCAACGACGCGGCGTCACCCGGACAGCCTAGAAGTCATGAACTCGAGCCGCGGAAGCCTACGTGTACGAATATAATAAGCGTATTTCAGGGCGATGAATATAATGTATTTGAGGGCGATGAATATAATGTATTTAATGACAACGAATATAATGTATTTCAGGACAACGAATATAATGTATTTCAGGACAACGAATATAATGTATTTCAGGACAACGAATATAATGCATTTCAGGATGATGAATATAATTTATTTCAAGATGACTAATATCATGGATTTAGGGACGATGAATATCATTTTATTACGACGAAGGTCTCTGTAGCAATGAAAACGACCTCAATCGTGATATTGATAAATCGCAGCCACGTCGTCGTAGAAGCGCGCCCCGCCGCGTCCGCGGGTCGCGGGCCACCCGTGCTTTTTGCGTGCGTGCCGTTGGACGGCGGCGGCGGACGCCCGCTGGGCCCGCATGGCTTGCGGTCTCTCTAATTACGTCGCGGACCGCGGTTCGCCCCCCGAAGTGCACGGCCTCGGGCTGGGCCACGTCGCCGCCACACCGGCGTACCACGGCCTATGCCGCATCCCGCCCGCGTCTTTAACGCGAATCTCCCCACAAGACGGGCGAAGTGCTGGATGATACTTTCATCGGTGGATAGGGGTTTTCCTTCCGTGGATAAATTTGTAGAAACGAAGGGACCTCATACACGAGTTGCTACACGGGTTCGATAATGCATCAGAGTTTAACGTAAAAGACACATGGAAAGTGTAACCTCCTGGTAGTTCTACAGAATGTCAGAGAGAGAAAAAAACGGGAGACGAAAAATTAGTGTCTTAAATTTTAAGGCCTGTCGAAAAAAAAAAGCGATTAACACAAATTCGCAACTTTCCAAGTAAGGTCAAAGACCGTGGTATTTCGAAGGAAGCCATTTAAAACTTTTAAACACCGAAACTCCCAGGAAAGGATCTGTCGTCACATTCACTCCAGAGAATGCACCTTTCTTTTCCGACAACTTCCACAACAAACTGATCTACTTCACTTCCGGCACACACAACTGGCACATTTCTTTTCACAGCACTGTGCACACTGAAGGTCACTGCGCGCGACGCCGACGTCTTCGGCTAGTCTTCGGTGCGCCGCGGGGCCTACCTTGTTGCTCGGGGACGAGGATCCGGGCGTAGGCGAGGTGCAGCAAGGCCAGAGCGGCCGCGACGGTGGCCAGAGGGGACAGCGACGGCGGCAGCAGCAGCAGCGGCCCCACGGCGGCCCGGGTGGCGCAGGCGTCCGCACGGCGACCTCGGCGCTGGCGGCCCATCGTCTTCCCTCTTCTCGTCTTGCTCACTCGTCGGCGTCGTCGTCACACAGTGGCTGTCCGTGCAGCTCCCGCAGGTGCGACCGACGGGAATCGTCACCGCGGTGGCACATGGCACGCGTCTGACACGGGCGTGGGGGGGGGGAGGGGGCGACGGCGCGGCCGCGCGCGCTCGCGCTCCGCCCGCGGGCGAGGAAGCGCGGGCGACGGGGGCGGTCGGGACGAGTCGCCGACGCGACGGCGGGCGGGCGGCGGGCGGGGCGGCGAGGCCGAGGGCTGCGCGGAGACGCCGGGCAGAGGGCCGCCGCAAGCGACGAGCACTGACTGAACGCCGCGCGCACCCGCCGCGCGCGCCGTTCCTCCCTCCCCCTCGCGCCGCGCGCGCCTGCGCCGTCCGACACCCACGGCGCCACCGCCGCTGCCGCCGCCGCCTCGGCCCCCAGCGCGCGATGCGGCAGTCTTCGGCCGCCCAAGCCCTGGATCGAGGCCTGCTGCCCACCGCACGGACCCGCGAAGGAATTGTCTGATTCGTTTCTGGAAACACTGCCAGGAGCAACTGTGTTCCATGCGAGAGAAAATACGTTTCAGAAGATTGCCGTCACACCAGTTAACGTTTTCAGATGCGATTATTGGGATTGGCAAATTCTGTCCGATCGCTGAGTTTAAAATAAAATAAGAATTTACCGCACATTGAATTGAAACCAATTGCATTGTTAATACTCATTTATTTGTTACACGTTTACTCTTCCTCTTAAGAATGCAATGAGAAGACGTAAACATAATCCCTGTACAAACACGTATTGAAAGTGTGTTTGTCGAGAGTATGAGTACAGTTACAACTTCATTTTGCTTTTAATTTATTACGATTGTAACGTCAGAATACCATTTTGTTTATTATTTTTAAAGATTTTAGCACTGATTGTGTCAATCTAAATCAGTGCTTGCCAACTCGGTGCTCTATGACTTCACACAAATCTGCTCTTTCGACGGAGGGGACGGAAATGATCCGGAATGGGTAAGGGTAGGTTCGCTTGGAAAAACGATAATTACGATTTTAAATGGTAATTGTTATAAAATGTTTATGATTCAATAATATGAAGAATTATCTAAGCAATATCCAATTCTTTCCATAACCAGAACTAAATTTCCACTTCCATTCTTTCTTCTGTTAGATAACATGTTCGTAATATGCAAATTTAACATTTAAGAGCAATAATATTTTATGCAATGGTGTATAATATAACGAATTAGTTCGTTTTGAAACAATAATTAACGTTAACAAGTATGTACCCAGTAAGGGTCACGAGAGAGAATTTGAACCCCATGACTCATTTTTGATGTGCAGTTGTTTATTGTTCGTGTTCTAGAATGTAAATTCTCTTAATTTTTAGTACCTTTTCCATAATCTTCGATCTGCAAATTCCTTTACTCATCATATGCCTGGGGACAGGGGCGGATCCAGTCGATTATTTTTTGGGATTGGGGCATCATAATTAAGTAATAAAGCTATTTTTGATTATATTGTATATTATTTTTATATGTACGACTACATGATACTATACAATATCACTATCTTAAATAATTACATGATTTTTATATAAATAAATATTTAAATCAATTTTTCCAAATAAAGGAAGGCAACAAAAGAAAACTCTAGGTCTTTGGGGAAAGGGGGCCATGAACCCCATGCCCCCCCTGGATTGGTCATTGATTGGGAGCTATGTCAATTCTCAAAATTTATTTTTATCTCGCAGGTTTCTCTGGGTCTCAAAGCTACGTAATCCATCGGTACGTTCCACATTTTAACATTCCGCAGTTCTTTTAAACACACTAAACACTTCATTTTTCCAGTATCAATAAAAGGAAACCTTTCTTCCCAAAAGAAAATTAACGGGTGTGGATGGTCTCCAACTCAAGTGGCCTGAAACACCAGGAAAGGCTCAATGCCAAGGATTTCGTCATTGACGATCGCCGTCTGCCCCTCCCTCCCCACTTTGCACGCACTGCGTCTTCTTCTGCGCCTTATCACGGAGGCCAAGGCTGCTCTGATTGCCGTTTACCAACTGGAAACAAAATGATATCTAAAGTGTTAAAATGCAGTGTAAAATGTCATGTTTGATAAATTAATTTCGTATTAATGAGTGTCTCTAGCAGTCATTAACATTTTCAAAAATGTCATTAAAATTTGTACTGACGAGACTTTTTGACGCCTTAACAATATGATCAAAATACGACATTTGGTTGCAATGGTTAAATTTTCTGATTTTATTCCATTTCATTTTATGTGAGAAATACTTCTCAATCATTTCACACACATATTTTCCATACATAATTACTACAATAGTTAATTGATCCCTTCAAAAGTTTGTTTAAGAACGTTCAATGTGAACGCATTCAAAGTGAAGGAGAGCTCGTAGGTATTGAGGGCCTGCCTCAGAAGGCATATTTGAAAAATGATTTTTTACTAATTTTCTATACCAGGCATTTCCAACACTTTCCTTGCATCATATTAAAAAAGGTTTGCTTCATCGGCCCCCTTGACATTTTTATATAATACAAAAAATCATCGTATCACAAATAATTGTCCATAAACGACTTGATAACAATTAAGAAGACAAAAAAATATGAACAAAAGTTTTGAAAAAAATTTTCTTAGGTTTGTGTTTTATGATTTTTGTATTATTAGAATTTTATTTTTTTAGTAATATAAACAAGTATTATGTTCTCAAACTTTATAAAAGATACTCCCATCAAGGGAAGTTATTCAATGCACCAATTGTTAATGTTTTAATTATTAACTGTATATAAACAAATGAAAATAAATTTTATATTCTCATCTTAATAAAAAAGTGTTACGCCCCGACCTATAGCCCCTGAGAGAGAGGGAGAGAGAGAGAGAGAGGGAGAGAGAGAGAGGGAGAGAGGGAGAGGGAGAGAGAGAGGGAGAGAGGGAGAGAGAGGGAGAGAGAGGGAGAGAGAGATGAAGAAAGAGATGGAGAGAGAGGGAGAGAGAGAAGGAGAGAGAAGGAGAGAGAGAGGGAGAGGGAGAGAGAGAGGGAGAGGGAGAGAGATAAGGCGAGAGGGAGAGAGAGCGTGGATTCACCTCTGGGTGTATTAAAAGTGTTATTGGCTTCCTCAAGCCAACAGTTTAAACATCAGCGCAATGCCAGTAAGCTCACTACCTGCGGCATTCCCGCTGTCAGGAAATTCTCCTCCCCCTCCCCTTCCCCCACCTTCTACCACCCAATCCGTTCGCGGCAGTTGCGCGCGTGCGCGAGCGGTCAGACCGACAAGGTTACTCGAGTGCGAAACGCGGAGGAATTTCTGGTCGACAGTCCGTTTGGGGAAGACGCACTGAGATGCGGTGAAAATCTGCGAAGCAGCCAGCGAAGTCCTTTTACTAACAACACTCGCCACGCCGGGCGCTCAGATCGAAACGAAATTTCCTCTTGCTACGTCACCGTTCAAGAACCTCACATCCTTAGATGGCGAATGGCGTTGAGTGAATTACTTTACATGTTTTTTTGAGGAGAGGATTTTATACTTCAGAGTTTTGTTTTAAACTTAAATTTCTATTGAATTTATCATAACATTTGTTACATTTATTACTCTTGTCGATGCACATATTAAAATTATGTAGTGCATAATCTATATTGATGTAAATATTATAATGGCACATTATTTCATTCGTTATTTATTTTCGGAATATACAAGTATTTTCTAAAAAATGAATATTTCGGCCATACAAATCAACCTCGATCATTGGGAAATTCGACGTCATGGTTAAATATAATGTACTCTCCACAAAACCTGAAAGAACGTAAATGTGGATCGGGAAGGCAGAGATACCACGTGTTTTTCGAAATAGAGGAGTAACGTAAACGTAATCTTTCGTTAAAACATTTTCTTGATTATAAATTATTATAAAAACAAACATACTACAGACTAAAATACTATGTAACGTTTTGTGATATGAACGTTTGACAATAATATTTAATCAGAATGAAAGTAGTTACATTCTCCTTCAGATTATTTTTTTATTATGTCAATCAATATTACAATAATGCTCACACATCACTACCGCCTTCACCCCTGTCACAAAGTAGGAATCCTAAAAAACAATCAACAGAGAATACATTCTTATGGAGGAGAGAGATGTTGTTTATCATTTACATACCAAAATATATTATTTTTTCCAGTGAATTATTAATTACGATCGAACCACATTTTCGCTTGTTACCCGTTCCCTAACTCAATTTACCCCTCACCTTCACTTCGCAGGTTTGATTGGCGTTGCCGAGCATGTCAATTGCTAAGGTCATTAGTTCCGTATTTATAGTGAACTATTGTCATGCTTGACGTAATGATGTTCCTCCTTTGCTATGTTGTGAGATCTGCTGCCGACCATGTGGGTTTTAAGGGAGAGTTTCCGTCTAGTTATCTGCCCCAGCGAGGCTCTGCTCCAGCTGGGACCAGCTCTAAGATCCCGACTGGCCCGCGACAAGCGTTTAGCGTGTATACGCGCGCGTGTGTGTGTGGGAGGAGGAGGGAGAGTATAGGACAAATAATAGAAAAGAAAGAGCGTGTGCGGTACATGTCCCGTTTGTTAGGTTACTACTCCGGCATTCGCCTGGTGATGATCGGAAAAACCAGAGGAAAATTGCGATCAGAGCAACCGTCCGCTAGAATTCTCTTCCGTTCTGCCTACTGTCAAAAAATCCACCACCGTCGGGACTCGAACTCTGGATCCTCCCGATCATAGTCGCTGCAGAGGCATCTGCAATGCTGGCTGAGCTAACCTCAAACTCTACTTTAGAAAGTAGGGTTTCACTCTGTCTTAATTCAAATGTTCAAGTACAGTCGAGGGAAAAGTAGTGTTTCAGTGATTTTTTTGCATCGGAACATTGCGAGAGCCACCTGCTCGCCGCAGTGGGAACACAATTACGTCGGCAGTATCTAGTTGTAAGATGTCGTCTGCCATTGAATCCGTATTGACGGTTGGATATTTTGTGGAGAGATGGTTCCAGGAAGATGTTAACAGTAATATTCTGTT